GCAAAGTAAGGCAGCTGAGTATACAGTTTGAGAGTTGAAATGCTACACAATTGCCACAACAACAATGAATGGAGGCAGCTGCATTGGTGCAGCAGTGAAAGTCTTCTTCTTCACATTATGAATCACACTGTTGTGAGATATTCAGATGTGGTTGCCGCAGTCAATGGAATGAGGACCTTCCTTGGCCTCGTTCACGTCCTTGATTTCGTTGGAGTGCATGCGTACAAGTCTCTTGACAGCTATCCTGCAAAGCTTGCTCGAGAATTGTCACATCAATCATCAATCTGTTATTCTGGAACAGGGAAATCCAGCTGTTAGGCACAAGCAAAATGCGAGTTTGGTGGGCATTGCCAGACCATTTGCGAGCAGAAAGCGGCCAGGCGCCGACCAGCCCGAAGAACGACCAGCTCAAGCCTTTCAGTCTTTAACCGACCATTCTTTCGGTTGGGGGGTAGGAAGCTACTAGTAACAAGTGCATCGCTACTAGTAACAAGTGCCTTACTAGTAGTAACAAGAAGCTATTAGAAACAAGTGCCTTACTACTAGTAACAATAAGAATTTAATTAGAATTGTAACTACCGACCGTTCTTTTTCCGACCGTTCTTTCGGTTCTTCCGACCGTCCTGGTCTCTAGAGACCGTGGCTTTTCCTCCCTTTCTTGTGAAGGACACTCTGAATCGGTTCGGACGTCCCTTTTTTCAGACCGGTTCTTCTTGTTGTTCTTTCGGTTCTTCATGTCTCTCTCACTTTCTTGTAGACTCACATCAAGTTCCACAACGTTCCACATTCATGTGCCCTTGCCACGATGGTCCTCTTGTCATTCATCATATTCACCTGAAGAACTGCTTGGATTGGTGGTTTAAGTAGAACGAATCTATCTAATCCTTTGATAGCCTCAAAGCCATAAGTCGGACAGAATGATTGCCAAGATGCGATGGAATCGCCTTTTCCAATTTTGCCCTGGTATACCTTGCCAATACACGATGCAACGGAAACAGCAATGCCAGCAGGCTGATCTTGTGCAGCTGATTACTGGGCAACCAGATCTTTTTGCGATTTGGCATACAAAGCAAAATGTTTGACACGCATAGAGGCCAGAGTGGCACACAACTCTGCAAAACCGCAAGAGGAGCTAAGTCAATCACCCGCATGTAGGTCACTTGCCCGGCTAGTGGATGGTCCTCGCTTTTAACGAGCAACCATAGCCTTGACCCTTGCTTGTCACTTGAGACCAGTGCGAGCATGCGGATACAATGATGAAAGGGCTAATCTTGTGCTCAGCGTTCTTTCTGGACTCAGGACAGTATTGTGGTTGCAACATTCCAGTATCCAGGGATATGAAATACTTGGTTTGCCAAGCAACACTTTGGGGTAGAACAGTCAAACTGTGCCCTATACTAGACCCACATAAACACTGTCTATGTACAAGAACATTACGTTGAATCCCATGTCTTCAGGTGTTTTAGGCTCTTTCTCACACAGGTCCCGGGACAGGAAATATCGCTCAACATCCACTTCTTTGCTCAAAAAGGGATATCTGCAGCGCGGTGGGGCAAACAAAAACACAGGAGTGTGATCAATTCAAACATCAGTCTGTGGAATGAATGGAGTTGTAAAGGGTACTTTGTAGAATGCTTTCTATGAATTGTCCGAAGTCATGCCGAGAAGGGTGTTCCGGCATTGTGACATTCGTGCGTCTCGTGTCTCGTGTCTCGTGTCTCGTGCGTTTGCTTCCGCTCCACATGTTTTTTTTTTGCCTGGATTTTGAAGGCGTAGCCCACCAAGGGGTCCTGGATCAAGATTGGAGATCCCAGTCCACTTGACTGCTGTAAGCAAACTCATCTAGAATCACATCCAACCCCTGCAGGTTGTCCGCTGTCTCACGCTTAAGTTGCTCCCTTTGCAAATCACGTCCTTGGGGTTGTGTGAGAGCTCGACGGTGTCCTCCTCATTCTCAGCGTTCAAGGCCTTTGAGACTGCCCGTTTTTTGTAGACGTTCGTCATCTGCCAAAATATGTGTTATATAAGATAGAACTCAGATACAGTCGCCTTCGTCTTCCTTTCAGATGCATCGCCCTTTGTGCATTTTCAGAGCAATGCGGCCCGGCTTAGTGCAGCCGCTGGCAATATGGTATACTCGTACTCTTCTGCTGGTTTGTGACCATAAATGCAAACAATTGTGGGTCGATTGTCCAGCAACAAGCTGCGCTGGCTTTCTTGGGCCAAATGCGAATCTGCTCAGGCATAAAACTTTGCAGGGTCCAGTTCCTGCGCTTCAGGGCAAACCTGGATCAAGTCCTGCACAGGGGAGCTGGCAAACTATTGTTTAACAGCAAAAGCTACTGGCAATGGGTACCCCCTCTTTCTGGATCCTATTCGTCAACCTACTTAGACTTAGCCCCACCACAAAACATCAATGAAGCTTGAACCTTTGAATGCAAACTCCAGACGGACAAACTACTCTGGCAGCAGCTAAGTTGACAAGTAAACTGCTTTGCTGCAAGTGCTCTCGCCTGCAAAAAGCACTTGCCCAGCTCCATCGCATCTTTGGTTCGCCAGGTCTGATCTGCCTTGGCCGACTGCGCTTGCTGAAACTCTCTGCATTGGAAGAATGACCTGCCTGGAGGTTGAAATACAGCGCGCCAGAGACCGGCGAGGCGTACCAAATCTGAAGTGCTGAAAAGAACAGATTCATTCATGCAACCGTTCAGAAAAGGCTGCCCTTTTTCTTACAAAAAAGGCATTGAGGATAACTGTTGGGATCCAAGAACAGTTCCAGCAGGATCAACTCTTGAAAGGGGCTGAAGTTCATTGAATTATTTGGCAATAATGGCCCCGTGGGGAGGTAGTTCCTGCTGCACCAGGATATATCTTTTCGCACCTGACGAGTGACATAGTGCTTGTTGATCACCTGAGATGACCGATCAAAAATCTGTCTTTTGACACCAGGGAACTAGACTGTCCCAGCAACTGGCTGGCAAACAAAGCCGTCAACTCCTTCGGAAGAAACGGGCCAAGTCACAAATGTTCTGCCCCCTTCCAGCTTGACAGTCAGGACGCCATCCTGAGTGCAGAGATTGTCTGCTGAAAATTGACCCATGTGAGCTGAAATTGCCCGCACGACAGGTGAGCTGCGCCAGCTACGCTGTTTTTGGAAGGCCAAGGCAGGATGCATTGCAGGCAGCTGTCGCCACCATGATGTACCGGATCAACGCACTCGTTGCACGCCCGCGCTTTTGATTCAAAATCACTCTCATTGTCCCGCCTCGTAGCCCAAATCGTCGACACAGTCCAAGTTACTGGCCTGCAACAAACATGTATTGATGATCACTGTTGTTAAGTAAGTTTCCAATGAAAATAGGAACCAGATCAATCACGTGAAGGTTCTGTATTCAAGAATAGTAGCTTGCATGTACTATAGGTCAAGCTAATTAGCTACTTATACTCATATCTTGTTGGCTACGCTGCCTACCCTCCCCCAAAATGGAGGGATGGATGGATGGATGGATGGATGGATGGATGGATGGCTGGGTGGGTGGATGGGTGGGTGGGTGGGTGGGTCGGTAGGTAGGTAGGTAGGTAGGTACATACATAGATAGATAAGGTAAGATAAAATAAGATAAGACAATATAAGACAAACAGAGATGAGATGAGATAAGATCAAATCAGATTGGATCAAATAAGATAAGATATTATATGATAAGATCGGATAAAATAGACAAGCAAACAAAATAGATACATAATGGCTTTGCTGCTGATGGGCCCCTTCCCGCGTCTTCGCCCCCGCTTGGTTCCCAGCGTCCAAGGACTCAAAGATCTGCTGGAGAGAGACTTCGGCCTTGGCCTTGGTGTCTTCCACTTGACCCATGCCTGAAGGAATGTGAGTCTTGGAGTGTCAAGAAATGTCAAGTCTTTTTTTGCTCCACCTTGCGTGGATATTTTGCTGCCACAAAAAGAGCGGTTTGTGCCATTGATATTCTGACCAGCGGACGTGGAATTCGGTCTCCGTCACTGCCATCTCGTCGCCTATCAGGATGAAGAATGCAAGAAGTTCAAAGATGCCTTCCTACACCATCTGGAGTAACACTGTCTGAACAATAAAACAATGGCAAACAATTAATGGTAGGTATTTCATTGTCGCAGGAGTCTTCCCGAGTCTTCCCTTCTTCCCTTCGAATTTCCTTTTTGTTAATGTGCGGCAAGCGCCACAAGATGCAGCACCTCCCACATCTCCACGGCCCGTCGCCAGTCGTCGAGGAGCCGACGAGACCTCGAGGAGTCGAGGGGCAACGGACTTCGACTCCGCGGAGTCCTTTTATTGGGATCCGCATAGCGCCAAGTATCATATTTTTCTCTAATTATACATATATATCCGCCGACCCCAGCCTAGCCGCAGCCTAGGCGGGAGGCGCCTGGGACACCGCAGGGTGCAACCTTGGCATTGGCATCTCCACCTTTGTGGGCTTTAGCACAGGCTACAGCTAGCCTGTCCGAAGCCATGCAGCCTAGGCATGACCTGGGCTGCCACTTACGGCGCTAGCAGCCGAGGCCAGCCTCTTCTTTTCTAGGCTTCTGAAGGCAACGGCCCCCCTACAAACGCTTCTCGGCGCCTTGCAGGGTCCAACCTGTGGGCTTTAGCACAGGCCACAGCTAGCTTGTCCGAAGCCATGCAGCCTAGGCATGACCTGGGCTGCCACTTACGGTGCTAGCAGCCGAGGCCAGCCTCTTCTTTTCTAGGCTTCCGAGGGCAACGGCCCCCCTACAAACGCTTCTCAGCAGCCGAGGCCAGCCTCTTCTTTTCTAGGCTTCCGAAGGCAACGGCCCCCCTACAAACGCTTCTCGGCGCAACCTGTGGGCTTTAGCACAGGCCACAGCTAGCTTGTCCGAAGCCATGCAGCCTAGGCATGACCTGGGCTGCCACTTACGGTGCTAGCAGCCGAGGCCAGCCTCTTCTTTTCTAGGCTTCCGAAGCGCTTCTCGGCGCCTCGCAGGGTGCAACCTGTGGGCTTTAGCACAGGCCACAGCTAGCCTGTCCGAAGCCATGCAGCCTAGGCATGACTGGGCTGCCACTTACGGTGCTAGCAGCCGAGGCCAGCCTCTTCTTTTCTAGGCTTGTGAAGGCAATGGCCCCCCCTGCAAACGCTTCTCGGCGCCTCGCAGGGTGCCACTGTGGGCTTTAGCACAAGCCACAGCTAGCTTGTCCGAAGCCACGCAGCCTAGGCATATCAAGTCATGTCAAAACCACTGCCCCTGCAGCACCCCAGCCCACCACGACCGTGCATAGTACTTG